AACCAATGATGTTTTTGCAATATCACAGGATGATCTACAAAAATCAGCCAATTACAATGAAAGCCCGCTATGCTGTAAATGTATGCATCACGAGTTATAGAGCCATGTAAGGTTAAAGGGACTTGATACTCCATAGTACATGCATACATTGTGCGCATTTAGGCCAGATAAGGTTTCGGTCCGGAGTGAATTCTCCACAAAGATGTGGCATGAGTTAATTGACCGACTTTGGTTAGGGTACTAATTCCTGAAAAATAAAAAAATGGCGATTTTTACTTGTGCCCCGTCTCACAAATAAGTTATGTATAAGTCAGGGTCATGTTTTATCACGTATCAAATTTTATTTATAAGAATTGATATATCTCGATATTATTTATTTGTATATAAAATTCTTATCATATTCACATATTTGTGGAAATGATAATCAACATGTCTAAAAACATGGGCAAGTGTGACCAGGTGGTCACAGTTGAGTATAAATTTGCTATTCATCAAAATCAGAAAAATTTCGGTAGCTGTGACCAGGGCGGTCACACTTGAATAAAATTTAGCGCAGTAAATTTCATTGGCTTGCTTTTAAAACCTTAGCTTTTACATAATCAATATCATCCACGCCCAGTCTCGAAATAGTTGACGCAGAAAAAGACTTAATACAATATATCTTTCCTTCCCCTCCAACCCCATCAAAGAGTTTAAAGATTTTTATTGCTCTTTCCTTCTTTTTTCTAAGATTAGCCTCTGAAACTTTGTCCTGGTCCGGAAAGTGCTTCTGAATTTTATCATTAACTAGAGAATTGAACGTATCCTCACTATATGTTTTTTTATAATAGTCAAACCATAACCTATACCCTTTCCCAAAATAATAATATGCATAAATCACTTCTAGAATGGTTTTTTTATTACCATCTTCGGCATTGATGATCTTATTATCTAGTTCACGAAAATTAACCGAGTTAATATTCATATCAGGGAATGTCTGTAGAGAAATAATACTACTGGAAGAGCTTTGCTGTGGAATTGGAGTGGACAATTCCTTGATAAGCTTTTTCAAAATAGGTGAATCTTCTCTTCTAACTGCTTTCTTTGCCTTCTTCTTGGGTGTAGATGAGTTGACGTCCGTACCTTCATTGGAACGTTTTTTACTGCTGGTATCAGGTTGTTCTTCATCATCAACGATCATTTCTTCTTCCTCTTCTGGTTCCATATCAGTTGATAGACATATAGGACACAATTTTCGTAGATTATCGATACAGTTGTAATGGATGTTATGCTTACAAGTTAAATATACAAGTGGTTTTAAGGGAGCTTGAGGTCGAGGAGAGAACCGAAGAAAGCCTATAGGTGGAAGACATGAAGAAAGATTTTCAGAACATTTGGCGCACCTCAAATTACTTTTGACTTGTTGGGTTGCCATACCCTCAATCCTTTCCATCCGTATAGGTGGTGAAGATAGTACAAATGTTTCGTCCATCAAAGGTGAAATTCTAGTTGATTGGGAGGCCTCCTTGGAATCAGTTAACGGCAAATTGGAAACAGTACCAAGGGGATTAGCTTGATCTAATATTTCCACATTCTTTCCACAACCCGGGAATGGACATGTGTTTGGAACAGTAAGTAAAAGCTTTTTTTCGATACAGAGTCTATGAAAAAGGTGTCCACATATTAGGTATGTGAATGCCTTAAGAGGAGATATTAAAATGTCATTGCCACATTCGGAGCATGGTCCTAGTTCTGTAATTTTTTTACACTTAATAAAACCATCCTTGAAGGTTTTTAGAATATTATATGCGAGATTTTTGATGTTATTAATAGGAGTAGATGGTGCAGAAGTAGAAGCGGTAGACATATTTCAATTATAACCAGATAAGTTTTACATAACGAAATTCCTTATACTTAGCTTATTTATATAGTTTATTCCTCACACTAAAAAAAATAATTTGCAAATTTTATGAAAACTAATTTCAGATTTGGCGATCAGTTCATTCACAAATTACTTAACATAGACCAAGAACCAATTGATCTTTACTGACAATCGTGAATAAAAAATCTAGCTTAAGGATATTGAAAAAATAATTAATATGGTGAATGAAACCTTACAATGTTTCAAGGTATTTTATATATTCGAATGTTTCTTCCTCAAAATTATATGAATCTAATGGGTTTCTATAATTATCTTCTTCAATATTGGTCAATATCACATTTCTAATTCTTTTACTGAAGATCATATTTTTATTTAATAAATACTTTTCTACTTTTACGAGCTCATCAAATGTTATTAATGCATTATTATATATGGGCTCAATTTTATTATTATTTATATCCGATTTTCTGTGGCATCTGTCTAGTTTCTGCAATAAATCATAGTATTTTGTATTAAAGTTTTTGCGCTTCTTATAAAGTTCATGACAAATTTCTTTATACTATATGCAGTTAATTTGAATACAGTTATCTAGATCCTCTAATGGAAGTTTTGAGACGATTTCAGCAATAGTATCTGGAAGTGTAAGTGGGTTATATGTATGCATATTGTGTATCCTCAAACGTGTAAATTTTATTAACTAAGATTTTTTTTGTTTAATAAGTATGTAGTTTCTATTTTTGATCCAATTTGATATTAATATTATATGTATTAACATTATATTCTTTCTATATCTGGCTTCGAGTGATTTTATCACGAGAAGGTGAGATTTTTATTTCACTTTGTCACTGCCAATTTATAAAAAAAAAAAATATTAATATAAAAATATATCACTCAATTGTGATCTCAAGGATAGCATTAGGAAAATAGTGAACAACTTGAGTCTCATGTATATAAGGCCCAGCAAAAATTCTCTAAACAAGTGATCACTACCCGACTCTCCTTCTGGTATTTATTTCTGAATTTCAGCTAACATTGCATCAATTTCAGCTAATATTGAATCTATTTCTATTGTTTGAGATGACGAAGAAGCCTGTATTTGGGGGTTTGAACTGTCGTTTGTCTCTGGTTCGGAGTCAGACTCTTCTGATTCTGTATCGCCTATAGCATAATTATCACCTGCATCAAGGCGGTCTGATTCTTGTCTCATTGCGATTCTTGAAAGCAGTTTAAGATGTTGGGGTGTTAGTTTTTTACCACCATGGATTCTGGAAGCGTGTTTACTTCCATAATCTCTTAAATTTTTAGGTATAGTTTTATAAGGTTCTTGTTTTAAGAACTCGTTAAATAGCCAAACATTACGTGTTCCATTTCCAGTAAAGACAGGGTCAGATAACTTTTTAGCCTTAATTGCATCTTGAATCCAGGTAAGTAATTTCCTTGCATGTTCCAGGTTCTTCTCCATAGAAAGAAATGGTCGGGCTCGGGATTCTTTTTCTTTTCTCCTCTACTTTTTAAATAGCCTATACAGTACTAAGAATACCCTTCTTTATATCATACTGAAACATTTAAAGGATCCGGTTTATAGTAAATAATTTGAAGAGATCTTACTTCTGCAGGTCTCATACTCAACATCACAATTACATCCACGAGATCTTCTCTAGATAGAATTTTAGAAACATCCATATTCTGAATCCTTTTAAGCACCCTCGCTGACGAGAAATGTATAGGAATTCTATCTGGATTAGCCATTCGTTTTTTAGTTTGCTTTTTCTGAATTTTATTAGACTCTTGAATAAGTTTTGGATCTTTGGCATAGGTATTAATAATTTCAGGACTTACCCCGCCTTCTGCTAATTTCATACGAAATTGTGATTGATGTGAACCACTGGTGACTATTTTATTTTCATAATTATTTTTTGGGCCTAAATCTAAATGATGGGCGAAAATGTCCATAGCATCGCCGATTTTAGCGCAATATTTTGCCCTTTTCTCTATGGTGAGTTTTCCCTTTCTCTTATCTGGTAAGAGAGCCTCTATTTGCTCTTCACTAAATGAGCGCCTGTTATCAGTGCCTCCAGCAAGGGCGACTTTAACACACCTGCGGGCTATCCAATTGAGAAGTAGAGCATCAAGTTTGGGAGCATGTTCGCTTAATTGTTTTGGGGTAGAGTTAGCCGTCAGATTATGCTTTTCTAGAAACTGCTCTAAGACCAATACAAAGTTATTAACTTTAGGTTTTCGGGTTTTTGGGGTAGCTGTTTTCGTAGCCATGCTAATAGTAAGTGTTATCTAGTTATATATTAATCTAATTATTTTTTAATTCGAAAAAAATAATAATATTTTGCTCTTTACCAAAACATACTGTTTTCCTGGAGTATGCTTATTGTTTTTTTCCATTCCTCATTGGTATCGAGCCAGGAAGATGTAGTTCCCTTATCTTCAAGGTCACGACGGATTATTTCTTCTCCTATCAATCTCTCTCGCACTGACATGTCCATATATTCTTTAGGGTCTTCTTCCACCTCTTTTGCATAATCACACATTCGTACATCGGTTTCCATTCTATCCTGGAATGCAATAGAATCGAGCCTGTCCTTTTCTGTAATCCCTTAGATTGTAATAGAATGCAGGCAAATTTGCTTGCGTTTTTGCACTTTTTTAGCTCTGATTTATTTTTTAAAAAAACCAAAATATTTAAATAAAACTTTGTACAATTAT